GATGTATTTATTAAAATACTACTCTTTGCTGAGGGACCTGAAGCAGAACTCCAGCGGTCCTGGTCCTGGTCCTGGTCCTGATGGGTCAGAGGAGATCTTAGACGTTTAAAGTCTATCTGGTCAGCATCAGAACCTCTGTGGTCCAGCAGAACCTCTGTGGTCCATCAGAACCTCTGTGGTCCAGCAGAACCTCTGTGGTCCAGCAGAACCTGGGTCTTGGTGTGGACCCGGCTCACATTGTTCAGGTCTGCAGCAGGAGCAGAGCGTGTCTCCACTCGCTGCTCACATTCCTGTGCTGGTTCTGACCCGGCCCGTGTTCTGAGGGATTCTGAGCTGGAGTTTCCTCTGAGAGCAAACTGAGTGAAACCAGAATCAAAGAGTTTTAAACATGAAGTCAGGTCCAACAGAACCAGAACCTGATGTGGGTCCAACAGAACCAGAACCTGATGTGGGTCCAACAGAACCAGAACCTGATGTGGGTCCAACAGAACCAGAACCTGATGTGGGTCCAACAGGAGCTGAACTCACCACAGCTGTTTACAAGCTTCAGGTGTGGAAACGGACCAACCAGAACCAGAACCAGAACCTGTGACATATAAAACTAAATATAAAAGCTGCAGGTTCTGATCCGACCCGCCGCAGCAGAATCAGAACCAGGTGTTGGCAGCTGGTCTGTCTCCTGCAGTCCCTCAGATAAAACCTGCTCATCAGTCTGATCACATCTCCTCACACTGACTGAGCCAACAGAACCGGTCCCATCTGGACCGGACTCTGAGGCTCACTTTGTACTGGGTGGTTCTGACCCGCAGCAGCTGGGATCAGAACATATTAAACATTAAACTACAGAGTCCTGAAAGGTTTTATAAATRTGAATAAAACTGAAGCTTCTCTTCATGTTGAAGAAAGAAAGAAATAAAAGTTTTTATAACTAATTATTTAAATAATTAACAGGTGAGTCATGAAGTAAAGCTGGACATTACTTTCATTTAATCAGGACAAAAACTGAAGAGAAATAAAAACAGTTTTTAAAATATCTTTATTTTTGATGTATTAAACCAAGCTATGCGAGCTAAGTGTGAAATAAATCCCTCGCTGTTCTTACATCTGTTAATTTTTACTAAATGTTCTGTTTAAATGATAAATGTTAAGCCTAGATGAAAAGGTTTWCATTTAAGGACCTGAGAATTGAAATGCAGCCTTTGGCTCTTATTATGATGTCATCATCCTGGGACAAATGCAAACACTAAAGTTGCCAACACTGCTGAAGATGCTTTTTACAATTTGTGTTCATTAAAAACAACATGAGTGGTCCCTGGGGTCCGACAGATGAAGCACAGCTCAGACACCATCTGTAACTGCAGTTTAATGTCACGTTAGCAAGTTAGCAGGGTTAGTAGCATTAGCAGTGTTAGTAGCATTAGCAGTGTTAGTAGCATTAGCAGTGTTAGTAGCGTTAGCAGTGTTAATAGCATTAGCAGTGTTAGTAGCATTAGCAGTGTTAGTAGCATTAGCAGCGTTAGTAGCATTAGCAGTGTTAGTAGCATTAGCAGTGTTAATGGCATTATTAGCGTTAGCAGCATTAATAGTATTAGTAGTGTTAGCAACATTAGTAGTGTTGATAGCAATAAAAGCATTAGCAGCATTAGCTGCATTATTA